TGTGTGTGTGTGTGTGTGTGTTTGAGGTGATGAGGTATGGTAGTGTTTGGTGGTGGTATTAGTAAATTCATATACAGATATTCATAAAATATCAAAATTTTTGTAGGTCTTTTATAGTCCGACTTAGTAAGTTAAGTAAATGAACATTTAAAACAGCTATACGGGAAGATGAAAACAATAAAAATACAGATCATGACGTTTCAGCAAATTTACTTGTTATCATCAGGTATAACGTACGAGTGAGTGTTGGAGAATTGAATTTGAAAATATAACAGTTTAGTTAAACCAATCATAAAACAGCTGAAATGCCATTGGTCAAATACAGGCTGTAAAATGATTAAAATCACAAAACTTTTGTTATTGTCATAAAACAACAACAACAATAAATGTCATTCATTAGTCATCACAGGAAAAAAAAATATCTGCAGAAAATAACTTGTATCCTGATTTTATAAGTTCGAGTTTCTACCTATTTCCAAAGATCTCACCCGTTTCAGAGAACATCAGTTCAACAATTTTCTATTAACACAAAAAAGACAATATCCTCTCTCCTGAATTGTATGAGTTTTTAGAACTGCCGATGCCAGAACATAACAATAAATATAACACGGTCTTCATAAAATTAACAAAGAAAATTACTCACTTCTCCCTTTTCTCTCAGCCCATGGTGCCTACAATCACAACCTATGGAAAATTTTTGACCTGGGTTTTTCCCGTAACTTCATCATATACAAAACATTCAACATATTTCATTCAAAAACTTCTACAATTTTAATCTAAATGCTTATATTTGGATGTGTCGTCATTTCTCTATTCACGCGAGCCCATACCCAATAAACGTTATGTTCTTTCCAAAATTCGAAATGATCCTCTTATAAAATATTTCTCATCGTTGTTTAATTATTGAAATTCGCCACAAAAAAATGACCAATTTTCAGTTGAACAACGCAAACTAGAATCAGATCGATGGTATAGAAAGAGTAACTCATTTGTCCCTCTGATTTGTAATTTATTTATGATTGCCAATGTTAAACGCTAAACACCGTACTGTTGTTTCCTATATAATGGCTAAGATACTTTGACGACGTATTTACAGGTTTTTTTTCGATCCATAAGTTCAGCTTTTTCTAGAAGTAGTTAGTAAATAACACCCTTCTATAAAATTCATCATAGAATGAAAACATGTAAAGCTATCATTTCTCAATACCCTTGGAGACTTTATACATAGATCAAACCAAGGCTTCTTAATAACGAGTGTTTATCGTAAAGTCATCTCACTGACATCTAGGTAACTAGGAATTCAGTTCACTCTACGTATTAAAAACAAGCACATTTAAAACTTTAAATTATAATACTACAACAATTTGCAATTCCCAAATATTCAGAAATCTGACATCTAAAATTATGTTTTCTTCATATCGACAAATTTCCTAAAGCTACAACTGAAAACAATTACTGTATTCATAAACATGATTAATATTATGTTACGACAGCGGAAGTCACGTGACGCTGGTAACACGTCATGAGATTCTCGAAGGATCTTGAATTTTCCAGGCAACTCTAGTCTGTTCCAGGAGCCCTCTTTTTTAGTATATAAGCCCGGCAAATAAAGCGGAGAAATAATGGCAGATAGATATAGAGACAGATAATTGAGTCAAGCGAGCGGTAGTGACGGTAATATAAAATGTGTGTTTTGTTCTCGAGATTGCAAACGTATTGACTGTGGAAATTCTTTGTATTACAAAGTTGTATCGAGAAAGAATAAACTAGTTTTAATTAAGAAAGGACTTTTATCGCTGAAGTTTCTCGGAAAGAATTT